AATCAGAGTACCCGGCCCTGCGGAGCGCCATCGAGAGGCTGACCCTGAATGACTCCAGTGTCACAGTGCAGAAAGACAGCAGTCTGGCCCTCGGAGCAGGCTGGAGGTCAGAACCGGCGCTTTTCAGTTAGAGGAAAAACTGACTTCTGGGTCGTAAGACAGAAGGTGGGGTCAGGATTTGTACTGAGGTCTCCAAGGAGAAAATGTTGGCGATAAGGCCACTTATCGGCAACATTTCTCTTATTATAACGCGCTTCTTTTATATTGTTGACGTGAGACATGCGTCGTAATTCTCCACCAGAAGATGCCTTAAATCAGGACGTAAATAACAGCAAAAAATAATGATTATGAACTTCTGAGTGAAATTTGTTCTGCTGGCATTGCATCATAATCGCTACGCATCCTGACTTCTCGACAGAAATTGCCATCAATGCTTCACACAATGCTGTTGCTATTTGTTGCGATTTCTCTGCTGTTGCTGTGATCTCGTGTAGTCTATGCTTCGGCGTTCGTTGCTGAATAAACTTTAAAATCGATCCAAATTTTAAAGCTGTGGGAATGTGGCCTCAGACGTCTTTTCTGCTTCCTCCACCTGTTTTCTAGCGGTGTTGCGTTGTGTGTCCTCCTCTACAGACTTGGTTTTCTGGGTCTTCTTCACATGGAGGTGTTCAATCAGAGACTGGAGCAGGAGTACAACGCGTCGGTCATAGTGACCTCCCCCACCGTGCCGTACAAGGCCATCCTATCCTCGGCGAAGCTCATCAAGGTAGAGACCGCTTCTTGCACAAACGTCCGTTTTTTTTGTTTTCAACTGCAGAGATTGGTTGGATTACAGATCAGGAATGTTTTGTTATGGATAGTGAAAAGTGCCAAATTACAATAAATAAGTAAACTTGTAAATACTTAATTAAATGTGTCATTGTTTTATTAAAACTGGAAATAAATATAGAAATGTAGAATCAGCTATATGTGCCTCTATTAACTGCAATGCTTTTATTCTTAAAAAAATTGATTTTATTATAATCATCATCATTATTATTATTATAACATTTAAAAACAATAAACTGTCAACTTTAGCCATTAAACTTCCATTCATAATTATTTTATGAGTGGGCGGGATCAGAGAGGCTTCTCTGGAGATCCTCGCATCTGATTGGCTGCTTCACACAGCAAGTCAAACAGCTTCCCCCAAGTTGACTCTTTGTCAATATTTTCACTGGAAATGTGGAGAAAACTTTAATGAGCTATTTATGGGTGAGCAGCTACAACCTCAAAAGAGTTTTCCCTGGAGTGAGTTTAATAGTTATTTTATACATGTTAAAAGACATGCACTGCAAAAACACAAAGTCTTACGAAGTAGTAATGTCTTGTTTTTAGGGTAAATATCTTAGTGCACTTGAAGTAATACGGACAAAAATGATATGTAATTTGTCAGCACAAAATTAGAGCTGGTTTTAAGTCAATAATTCTTTAATTTTGATTATTTTAAACGGTACTAGTTCCACTGGCTGGATTATTTCACTCATAGTGAGACATTTTCCCCAGAGTGAAATAATCTGCCAGTTAAGCTAGTGTCTTTTTAAAAATCAATTTTCAAGAATTATTGATGTTAGAACCAGCTCCTCTATCATGTTGAAAAGCGACTTGTCTCTTCATTCCTTTTATTTTTTTCTCAAGATATTTGAGAGATATTTGCAGATTTTGATCCTTTTTATCAAAAATTATGATATAATTTCTGCCTGCTTATAGAGGAATAGTTTTTTATTTATTTATTTTCCAATTTTAAGGTATTTTTCCTCCTGACTTTCTCCTTAATGAAGCCTGTCATATGTGATCAGAACCTCTAAAACCGGTCCCATGTTCCTGTGTTCTTGTCCTCACAGGAGCACGGCGGCGAGGAGGTAACTGTAGTGAACCCGGCTCAGTTCCCAGACAGATCGGTCGTGTTGGAGTATTTGGAGCCCATGGTGCTGGGGACGATTCTGGCTCCAGACGCTTACACCGGCAAGATTATGAGCCTGTGCATGGTAAGAGGAATGGGAGTAAAATGCTAAAGAGATGAGTTAAAACTCAGTGTGGATGCAGTTATGCACACATAAACACACCAGTTTAGAAAATGAAGAATGCACACAGGTGTGCCTGCTGCGGGTCAGACAGTTAGCTTTTAAGCTCGATGTTCTGATAAAAGCAAAACTAAAAGCCTTGGAAAAGAAAGCCGCGGTTTATCTTTCAGAGTCGCAGGGGGGTGCAGAAGAGCATGGTGTACATCGACGAGCAGCGTGTCATGCTGAAGTATCTCTTCCCCCTGAACGAGATCGTTGTGGACTTCTACGACCTCCTCAAATCAATGTCCTCTGGATACGCCAGGTAAGCTCTTGTCGGTCACAGCATGCAGCTCAAAACAACGGCTGGTTTTCGTACATCAAGAGAAAAAAACGGGAGAAAATGAAAAGGGACAAATTTGTTATGTTCTGTTTATTGAGAAAAATTAATTATTAATTACTAATCTAGTAAAAATAAGTAAGTCTTCACACTCGGGATTTTCAGGCTTTTATGTGCAGCTGTAACTACAACTGACCGGTTCCAGCTGCTTCAGGATTAGCGTTAAACATCAAGTTGGAGGACTTCGTACTCGGTCTTTTCCATTACAACTGTCCGAGTGTTAATTTCACATTTACCTCTCAGTACATTTATGCATTTTAATATCGAAAGAACATATTAGAGAGAGTAATGATTAATTGTCAATTAATCAGATTAAAGTTAGCTACAGTTATCGATTAGCTGATGATATCCGTTTAAACCTTCTTTTAGTGGTGTAGTTCGTCCGACTGCCACCAGATGGCACCGCTGGTCATTCTTACAAGAAAGAGACACGGTTCATTTGGGATGCAAAATGTACTTTGTGCAGTTCTGTTTTGAAATAGAAACACTCGACAAGCTCCTCTTGTTCTCACCTCAATGTCTCATTCAGCTGTTTATGTGCTACGAAGGCAAGGATGCGTTGACAAAAAAGCTTAGGGCATAACAAATAAAATTATGACATGATGGAGAGGGACATGATGACAATAAGCAAGGCTAAATCTGAAAGCAGTCACAAGTTAAAGCAAATGCTGCATATTACGAAAAAAATCATCCCTTTATGCTAATGAAAGACGGTAATTAGAAGTGCTAGTAACTCGGTTTTCTTATAAAATATGACTTTCCTCCAGTTCTGTTGTTTTTCTCGTCATTCTTATTTGATTGGTAATTCTGGACCTTGTTGATTTTCCTGAAGTGCCTCTGAAAGCTCTGCGTTCTTCTCACCACTTTCATCTGTTGCTTCCACAGCTTTGACTATGAGAATGCAGATTACCAGGCTGCCGATTTGATAAAGATGGACATTCTGCTGAACGGCCGGCCGGTGGAGGAGCTCACCACCATCGTACACCGGTACAGTCAAGTCTTTATTGTGCTCAAATAATCTGGATGGTTGTATTTGTTACTCTGGTGCTACTTTCTAGCACTTTCACACTTCCTCAGTTGGTTTTTAATTAAATTGGTTTCTGTGGAGTTTGACTGATATGACAGTTATTCTAATCCTACAGTTCAATCTCTGTGTTCTGCACAAAACTAAAGTTTACTATTCTCTTGGAGGGCAAACTTGCATTACGCCATCATCAGTATATATTACTTGAAAACGGTCTCCAAAACAACAACAATGTTCAAGAAATTGCTAATTTCTTCAACAATTTATTGTTCAGTAAAATTTGCCTTCATCTGCGGACAGTAAAAATTTAAGTACAATTAAGGGCTTGTTTTTACATATAGGTATGTATATTTGTATCTTCTGACTGGGTTTTTCCTGACAGGGAGCGTGCTTACAGTACAGGGAAAGCCATGTGTGAGCGCCTGAAAGAATCCATTCCCAGGCAGATGTTTGAGATCGCCATCCAGGCAGCCATTGGAAGTAAAGTCATAGCAAGAGAAACGTAAGTAGTACAGCTCCTCCGTCTGTCAGCAAAATCCTGGCCATAGAACAACAATCAATAAGTAGCGCTTTGGAATAAACGTGGTGCTGTGTTCCTCTTTCAGAATAAAAGCATTCAGGAAAAATGTTCTTGCGAAATGTGTAAGTAGAAAGGCTCCTGTTGTCTTGTGTGATAACTTGCCGCATGTCGTCATAATCAATCATTCATCTTTTTGCAGTACGGAGGCGACATAACGCGGAAGATGAAGCTGCTGAAGAGGCAAGCCGAGGGTAAAAAGAAGATGCGGCGCATCGGCAACGTCGACGTTCCAAAAGACGCCTTCATTAGTGTTCTGAAGAGGAAAGAAAAATAAAATCATTATTTATGGACTTTGCTGCAACTGTAATCAAAAAATAAAGGAATTGCTTCTTTTTTTTTAAACTTTGGCAATCTCTTTTAGTTTTTTAGATTTTTTTTTCCTTTCTAACGCTTTGTTTATATTTCTCTAATAAAAAATGGACACAATACCAGAAATAAAATACAAAATTAGACATTTTTCTCAATCATGTTGGGATTTTAATACATATTTAGAGGATAAGAAGTGAAGCAATTTCATTATTGGCATTATTAAAAACAAAAAAAGTGAACAGCTTGTTAAAACATGGAAGCGTTCAGGAAAAATGTGCCACAACTCGGTTGGGAGAAACAACTATAGGTCCTCCAGTCTGTAATTCTGACCTTTATGGAAGAGCAAGATGAAGAGTTTCATGTTGTGTTAACACTCCACAACTTCAGCTGTTATTAAAATTCCATAAAATATTAAATCAAGGTATGTAATGATGTTGACGCTGAAGGGAACGAGAAATAAATTCTAACTATAAGGGAGGAATGTGGATGTAATTTTTATGATGTGTATTAGTTTGATATTCACCTCTATTTACTTTTTGCGAATATTGTAGGAATGAACGAGCATAAATCATGGTGTAAACAGCGATGTCTTGCAGTGACTAAATTCTGCCAGCAGGTGGCAACAGAGGCTCAGACATGAATATACGGGTACTCTAGTCCTGTCATCATTGTCTTAACGTACTTCTTTTTTGTTTACAGTTTAGCCTTATATATTCTTAACTCTTTCTCCTCTAAGAGCAGAATTAAAACTTCAATATTACAGGATTACATATTTTTTTTAAATTTACAATTTCATCATCGTGCAACCTCAGTCATGTGGCGTCCAAACCCAAACATAACCCAAAAGCTCTTTAAAAAAAAGCGCGTTGGTCTCGTCTGGTCCTGTCGCCTGCCGTAGTTTATCAACGCGGAAGCTAAAATGAATGGCTATGTTGCTAACCGGTATTAGTGCATTTATCCCAAATACACGTCACAAACATTGACTGTTCGCTACGTTTCCTGACAGACGGGCATGTTGCGGGGTGACACGCAGCTTGGCGCGTTGTCCCGGTGATGCGTGGCCGCTGCAGCTGCTGCTGTGTGTCGTCAGCGACTTGTCCCGTTCAGAGAAGTTAAGTCGCTCCGTAAAACCACCATGAGAATCCGCTCGTCTGTGTTCGCCTGCTTCATTTTAATATTTGAAGTGCTCGGCGTCGCCCTCTTTCTGAGGGGCTTCTTCCCCGTTCCGGTAAAGTCTTCTTTCTCCTCCAAGAGCAAGCTGTCAGATTCACCCGCGGAGCCGCTGGCAGGTGAGAGCCCCCAGCATCACCCTGCCCCTACCGGTCTGTCTGTCCCCCTGGCTGTGGATAAGCTCATCTGAGATGTTCTTTCCTCGCAGGAAGCCATCCCAACTCCAGCCGCCTGCCCCAGCCTCTGTTCAGGAGGGTCGTCCTCATGGTGGTGGATGCCCTCCGAGAGGACTTTGTGTTTGGACCCGCCGAGGGGCCCCGCATGCCCTACACCCGGCACCTGGTCGAGAAAGGCTCGTCCCACAGCTTCGTGGCCAAGGCAAGACCTCCCACTGTCACCATGCCCAGGATCAAGGTAAGGCCTGTTTATGCTATATTTTTTAAATATGCAAAGGCATCTGAAGACTTGGTTTTCCAACAACGCATCCTTAGAAAGTATTACATTTATGTGTCTGAAATAAAAGCCTTAAAATGTCTTGAATAGTAAAACGATTTAAGTTGACCTTAAATGCGCCCTGCAGCGGCAGAACTACTTAATCTCATATAGTTTGTTTTTTCTTGCCGGACTTTTCTGTCACTCATTCAAGTGGTCTCAAAGACGCTACCACTTAGCTAGCTAAGTGTTAGCTAAGACGCTACCACTTAGCTAGCTAAGTGTTAGCTAAGACGCTACCACTTAGCTAGCTAAGTGTTAGCTAAGATGCTACCACTTAGCTATCTAAGGCAAATTCTTTTAGTTAGCTAGCTACTAAGCTAGCTACCTTTTAAGCAATGAAAAAGGTTAGCTGGCTAGCTGGTTAGCTTAATTTGTCATCCATAATAGGTAAGTGAAAATTTATTGCTGTTCGTTTTTCGCAATTTCCCCCCGCCCCAGAAATGAAATCTTCAAAACCAGAAATTTTGTTTAAAATTTATTTATTGTTCAGCCCGACTTGGCATATTGTTCGATAACCTGAGCTCTCCTGCTGTGTTTCTCCATTATGCCGTTCACTCTCTGATGTTCTCAAGCAAACCTCTTAATCTGAGCCACACTGAACCACAGATGCAGACACTCTATTAAATGTTTAAGTCTCTTCCAAAGACCTTGGATTGTGTTATTTCCTGTTGTTTTTTATTCATAAACAATGCATCTTTTTTTGCTCCCCCTCATATTTTGTATTGGTCTGTCGCATAAAATCCAAAAAAAAGATCAAAGTTTATATCGTAACTTTCAAGAGGTGTGAATGTTTTTGCAAGGCACCGTATGAGTCAAAGCGTCAAAGTCAGCATCACTTTGTCTTTTTTGTCCATTTCCTCTCTATTATTATTACCATTGCAGTTGTTTTTTCTAAAACAATAAAACAATTCTACCAAGACTGTTAGTTTTAAGGAAGGAAAACCTTCGATGTTTGTGTCGCTGACCTCAGATGTTGGAGTGTTTTGACTGTAGTTGAACCATGTTGGGTTTTATTAACAGAATAATATAGTCCAGCATCAAATGAAGCATTCATTTTTTTTTTTATCACCTCAATATATGAGAACATTATTATTATGTTGTTAGTCTGTTGTTAAGGTTCGGACACAGTGAGTTTAATCAAATGGTCATTTTAAATGTGATTATGGCTTTAACTTTTCTGAAATTCAAAATACACACACTTCCAATGATAATTTTCCCCTCTCTATCCTTTGCATTATCGACTTTATCAGTCATAAAATCATTAATACACAACAGGAGCTAATGATAAACCACCTGTTTCCTACCAAGTGTTGGAAAATCACAAACAAAACGGACAGGCAGTGCTTGAAAAGTTGAGGAGCTACTTACTCCACAAGAGTTGGGAATGTTTCGTGGAGCCGGAAGTCCAGTTTGTTGATTAACTTAAACATCAGCAACTCTAACCTCTTCTATAAAAACACAAGCTGTGTTCAGCTTTTGGTTGGAAGCCCTGAGATGTGTGTTAATAAAGCATAAAGAAGGAGAGATGTTAGAAGGGACCATGAAGAAAGAGTTATCTTGGCCATCTTCCCTAAATAATTCATCCTGCTGCGGCATTCATCTTTCCGTCAAGCTGTGCCCGTCAGTCTTTGCGGGAATGGCTGTCCGAGGAAGTTCATTCAGACGTCAGTCAGAAGAACAAAATAAAACTCAATTCCACGTCATTCGGGCCTCCATTGTTCATCCTGCATGTCAAATTTTATGGCAGAAAACGAGACCGCTTATAAATTTACAGGATATGGTCTTCCTGTTTTTTTTTTTTTTTTTTATAAATAAAAAAGGTAGCAACTTGTTATGAGTTTGGAAAATTTTACAAGAGCAAATATTAAGTCTTTATAAAAAAAAAATGTGATTAATCGAAAAGAAATAATATCATACCACTCCATCATGTTGCATTGAAAACAAACATATCAGCCAGGGATGCACTGATATGAAAATTTGGGCCGATATCAATATCTGATATTAGTATTGTTGTTAAGGCTAATAACCAATATTTACCAATGTATAGGTACATTTATTTACTTCGATACACTTCAGAGACTTTAAAAAGAAAACTACCACCCAAGATTGAACTGAATAATGGTTGTTAATATCGACCCAGTTTTATTTCAGATATGTTAAAAAGCGACAAATATCTGCTGAGACTGATGCTAGTGCCGATATTAGATGAATATCGTGATCCATTTTATATCAGCTGTTGTGTTGAGTTAATGATTCCGTCTTGTATATAGCAACCACAGTGTAATTTAACATGGAAAATCTACAACTAAACAGAAGCTACATGTTAGCCCCTGCTGGCAGGTAAAGCAGATGAGACAGAATAACTGAGGAGGACAGAGCAGAGATTTGAACCACCAACCCACAAGTTACAAGATAAACTTCTGGTTCCTGGGCAACTTTTGCATTCATAAAATAAAACTAGAATGTGCGTTAACCTACAGGCCAATACCAGTTTCTGGTTTTATTTGTCATCCGACCGGTTAGTTCAGATGTCGGACAGATTACTTTTTTTTTTTTTTTACATGATTATATCAAATACAAGTGGAAAAAAAAAAACTTTGCTTCATGTTGAACAGTCGTAGCAGTTCTGAATCCAAGTGAAAGTAAGTAAAAGACATCACAAAAACATTCCCACTTATCAATCAAGGCAGGTTTCAGGTTCCATAAACAGGAAACAGTTAAAGTCCTTAATCCTAAAGCATTTAAAGGATTGGAGAAAATAAATCACATTTCAAAAACTATTTAACCAACCAATAATTAATCAGAGCAGATCTGAGAAAAATATCGTCCGATTCCGATCGGTGCGTTTTTAACAAACCTGTCCACCAGTCATAACGGGTTTTTTTTGTTTTGTTTTAACGTAAATGAAGTTTGCATACACATACCGCCCAGGAAACATATAACTATGCAGTGTAAGGAAACTACGAGGAACTCTTCAGAAACAGCAAATAAATGTTCTTTTCTGGATCCGAAGGCAGGAAAACGGGGCGTGTTGTTAAATTTTAAATTTTACAATTTGGTTGATGACGCGTCATGTCGATGAGAGCAGCGCGAGTGCTGCCGAGCCAAGAGGGAATGGCAGTCATGTTGTGCTTGCTGCCGATGACAGTTTGTTGTGCTGAAACATGCCGAGACGGCGACCCGACTGCTGCGAACAGCAAAGAGTCAGCACTTGTTGTCAGGAGGCAGGAGGTTGCAAAAGCGGTGATATTTTTATGTTTTGTGTTTTTTTTTTTCCACCTGCAAATGATCAGCTTAGCTTAGTCTGTATCCCATAGTCGGCGGGGCAGGGCAGAGGGGGACGAAAGGCGTCTGACAAAAAGCTGAAGGGTAAAGTGGAATATATTTTTTTTCTCTCCCGCGTCAGAGGTAGAGAAAAAAAGTATGAGGCGACTTTTTATGCTTTCTCGGTGGTGGCAGAAAAGAATGAGGATGTGCTGACGGTGTCAAACTGTCTCAACCCAAGGAGACGGGAGCCACACATCAGCCTGGAGAAGCCCTGCTGCAGAGAAAAGACGGCGTGGACAGAATCGTCCTCAGTGATGTCCTGATGAAATGGTTGGGGAGGTAGAATGGGAGCTGTGGGAATTCACACTCAACGGCTTCTTGGCAAAGTGCACAGCTGATGCTTACTTAAAAATATTCCTGATCAGGGAAACAAAATCAGTCACTCTTTCTCATGAAACAAATAGTTTAGTCTAGAGAGGTGAGTTTGGCCTTGTTTTCTTGAAGTCGTACTGGAGCCACGGTGCGGTGGTTTGGTGTGATACCCCGGGGTTCTTCGCGGCCCTGCTTGAAGCAGATGGTTTCCTCTCGCACGTCGTGCTTCAATTTGAGTTCTGATTATAGTCATCAAACGAAATTATGACATATGAGAACGCATGACGTCCAAACTCTCACTGGTCCACCAAACTAACCTGGCTCACTGCCACCATCTCCAGTCAGGGATTTCTGTGAATGATTTCCTGTCTGCAATTTTGTGAAACTTGAGACTGATGACGCCAATTTAGATTTCTTTTTCAAAGCTGTAAATTATTAAGGACAAAAGTATTATTTTGCCATTTATAGTTTCTAAAGAAATTAAAATTGGAAAGTAGGGAGGTGCATTTATTGTATCGTTTATCATTTATTGTGATTTTTTTTTTATCATAAGAACAGTCAGTTTGGCAAAAAGTACAGTTGACTATAGAGAGATTAAATTAAGACTAAATCTGCTGAGTCACTAAATCTACGTTCAGTAGTTCTGTCCAGCCTTTATTTTAGTGATGTGAGAATGTTGTTATTGGACTTTACTGACTGAGGCAACCTCTCTCACCTTTACTCCTGGTTCTCTGTCGTCTTGGCTGCGATAAAATGAAGCGTCCTGTAGGCAGAGAGTGCTGTAGAGAAGGGGGAGGACACGGAGAGGATTGAGATTTATGTGGACGTGCAGGGAGGCAGATGTTTCCCTGTAATCCGAGGGTTTAGAGAAAGATGTGGGGATAATGAAGGACAAAGACAGGCGGACATTCAGTGCCAATTTCCGTCTTTCCCTCATGCAGGGGGTAGTTTATTTTAAAGAAGATGAAAAGCCCTGCAAAAATTGTACAACACAAAAAAAATCTTCAAACTTGAATTTTTTTTTTCACATCTAACAATATTCATTCCCTTCTTCTTTTATGACAAAATATATACATCACAATTTGGTAAGGCAGGTTGTATTTTGAGTGGGCAAATGTTTATCCTTCAAACAGTGATGCATTTCACATTTTTGTTTATGTGTGAGTATGTCACAAAGTAGACTTTCAAGAAATTTATGCGAGACCTAAAGTCAAGTCAACCTTATTCATAGACACATTTTATGCATCTTTCGGTCTCTAAGCCCAGAAGAAGAAAAATAG